CGGAACACCAGCGGTTAGCACTGCTACCTCAAGTCGCCAGGAACCTGGGTTCAATTCCATCCTCAGGCCACTGTCTGTATGGTGTTTGCACATTTGCCCCATGTTTGACAGAGTTTTCTCCAGGTGCTCCAGTTTCCTCCCACAGTCCAAATATGTGCAGGGTTGGTAGACTGGCCATGTTAAATTACCCCTGTCCAGGGATGTGCAGACTAGCTAGGTTAGCCAGGGTTACAGGGATAGGACAGGGGTGTGGGTCTGGGTGGGATGGTCTTCGGAGGGTTGGCGTGGACTCGATGAGCTGAATGGCCTGCTTCTACACTGTGGTGATTCTACGATTCTAAGTCCTGTTTTCATAATAAATCACCAATTACGAAATAAACCTGGTTGATGAATCTTATTTTAATCTTAATGTATATAATTGGGCATATTGGTAACAGTGCAAAGCATTTTAAGTTCCTGTTGTGGTCAATGGAGTAGTAGAACTAGAAGGATAGCACACTCCTCCAACCTTACTCATTAGAAATCAAGTGAAGCACAGATGGTTTTGAAATATTCAATTTACAAGATTCATTATCTGATAAATGACTAATTAATCTCTAGTTTTAGATGGAAAACTGATGGTGAATGTATTTGAAAAACAGATCTGAAGGAGTAGATATAAAATATTAACTTCATAAAAGGCAATCAAAATATGATACATTCATCTTCTATAAAGATCAAAGGAGGCATGTATGTGAATATGATGATCAAAGGAGATTTTGAAAAGTGTGTGGTTATTTAAAAGGATATACAACACCTGATGTAGGTTAGTAACTTATGAGATGTCATGTCCTTAAGACACAATATTTGAAGAAGGGATTGAATGGAGAAGCACATTTATCAAGACTGAGTTGGTTGTCAGATGACAGTGGAAGAAACTGAACTCATATCATGTTTCATACCTTAAAAGTATCCCACTGATTTTTCATATCTCAAACTATCCCAATAAAGCATTTAAGATGTCAGATGCAACTTTAATGAAGGGAAATGCAGCAACCAATTTTCTCATAGCAAGAGCCTGGCAACAGTAATAAAGGAACTTTATGACACTGATTGTAAGATAAATATTGGCTAGAACATCACGAACACTCCCCACTCCCCCGCCCTCTTAAAATAGCACCGTGAGATATTTTACACCCATCTGCACAAAACAGTCATGGCCTGGATTTAACAGCTCATTGAAAGATTGCACTTCCAACTCAAGTTGGCCCAAATGGACTGGGAGCAGCTACCTGCAGATAAAAACTGTGCGAGAAGCCAGAGTACAGGGCAAATATGTTCCTGTAAAAAAGAAAAGGGTCCAAGACTGGATGATAAGGGACATCAAAATTAGGATGAAAAATAAAAAAAAAACTTATGGGAGATAATGAGGGCTCATCCTGCAAAGACTACAGGAGTATAAAAAGAGCAAAGGAATTCAAAAAGGAAAGTAGGAAAGAAAAATGCTTAAAAATGTATCGAGAAAGCGTCCGCATAAAGAATTAAGGAAAACCCACATATGTACATATATAGAAACTAGCTAGGGAAGGAGTAAGGCACAAGGAAAAGGATGACATAGGTATAGACATGAAGGTGGAGGAGTGCAAAATATCAGAAGAAATTAACAGAGGTGCTAGCAGGTTTAACAGCTTTAAAAGTAGATAAATCCATAGGTCCAGAGGAAATGTATTCCATGCAGTTGAAGGAAGAAAGGGATAAAATATCAGGGGACCTGACAGTAACTTTCACATGCTAAGGTGCCAGAGACTGGAAGATGATGTCCACACGTTCTTGAAAAAGTGAGGAAGGGATAGACCAGAAAGTTACAAGCCAGTCAGTCTAACCACAGTGGTGCATCACAGAATCCCCACACAGTGTGGAGGAAGTCATCAGAAAGTTTAAAGGACAGAGCATATTTTAACTTGGAGAAACGTTGTTTAGATAATCAGCATGGATTTTTAAGGGAAGGTAGTGCCTGATAAGTCTGATCAAATCTTTTGATGTAACCAGGGAGTATTGATCCATTTGATGTGGTTTACATGGACTTAAGTCATTTCATGGCAGATTGGTCAATAAAGTAAGAGCTCAAGGGATCCAAAGCAAAATCATGTTGGTTCCAAAACTGGCAGGGAGGCAGGAGGGAAGACGGTGACAGTGGACAGATGTGTATGTGACTCGAAGTCTGTTTCCAGCATGGATTCTTCAGGGCTTAGTCCTGTGTGTTTTGCTGTTTATGGTGTAAATTAACAAATTGGATTCAAATACAGCAGGTATGATTTAAGCTCTTTGTGGATGACATGAATAATGGTAAGGCGATAAATAGTGAGGAAATCAACTACCTGGTCAGAGAAGTGGCAAAAGGAATTCAACCCTGAAAACTGAGGTTATGCAGCTGGGGAGGGCTACCAAGGCAAAGGGATTGTACAATGAATGGAAAGTACTGAAGATTGCAAGGACCATGCTGTATATATCAACTGATCCTCGAAGGTAGCAGGACAGGTATTTAAGGTGGTTAAGAAGGCATTTAAGATACTTGCCTTTATTAGCCGAGGCATAATACAAAGCAAGGATGTTATGCCAGATCTATATAAAACACTGGTTAGGCCACAACCAAAACAGTGTGTGTAGTTCTAGTCAACACATCATAGGAAGGATGTGATTGCAGTATGAAGGATGCAAAGATTTGCCAGGATGCTGCCTGGGCTGAAGGGTCTAAAAGCTAGGATGAAATTTGGTAGGCTGGGGTTGTTATCCTTGGAAGCATTAATGGTTGAGAAGGGACCTGATAAAGGTGTATAACATTATGAAATGCATAGCTTGGATGATAGAAAGGCACTTTTTCCCATTAATAGAAGGTTCATTAGCCAGGGTTATAGATTTAAGGTTCAAGGCAGAGGATAATAGGAAGTGGAGAAGTTTTTTTTAGAAAACACCCAGCTCTGGAATTCATTGCCTAAAAGAGTGGTTGAATCATAATATCTCGTAACATTTTTAGCAGTGTTTATTCACTTGCATTGCCATAGCCTCCAGGGATAAGGGTCAAGAGGTGGAAAATGGGATTATTGTGGTCAGATGTTTGTTGGCCAGCACAGACAGGATGACTTGAATGGCCTCCTGCTGTGTTGGAAGAATCTGAGTCAACAACTGCAGAAGTGCAGCGCTGAACTGTCAAGAGATGCATAAAGTTTGGAATTGGACTTGAACCCATGCTCTTCTTATTGAGAGGCAAGAATCCTGCTGCTAATCCAAGACTGACATTTGGCGACTGGTGAAGGAGTATTAAAACAAGAACTGACCAAAAATGAACTGTTGCAGAAGAGTGAATTAAACAGATGTTGAGATGCACTAATATAGAATTGTGGAAGTTAAAAATGACTGATTTTTAATAAAAAAGTCAACTGCTTAGAACACAATATAAATTAAATAAGCAAAGCAAAATTTGAAAAGCAATGTTTCATTTCACCCACCTGATACACTCTTGGATGCTCAGCTCAGGTGGCAAGTCTCTCAGGGTTTATGTTTGTCATTGCTTTTCAAACAGAGGTACATCAGTATTAACTTACCTTTGCGAATGGACCATAATGTGGGAAGCATGAAGTTATCAAACTTAATAGGATGGATGGAAACATGTTGAGACCAATAAATGTTGGTATTATGAATCTTTGGAATTCCAAAGCACTGTGGATGCTAAGTCAATGAAGATATTCAAAGCTGAGAATGGATGATTTTGGGTAGGAAAGGATCAAAGACTATTGAATTAGAGAAACTAGAACTGATGGAATAGTTTAGCCCGATTTTACTGACTGGTGGAGTAGGTTGAAGGTATTGTATGTTCTACGCCCGCTCCTATTTCTTATGTGGATTTCATCATGTGACAATGACCACATCTGAGCTTTCAGTATCAACCAGTTTTGGGAAGGGAATTTCCCCTCACTCTGCAAATTCTGTCTCAAAAACTCCCTCCATCGAGACACAACGTCCTAATGATTAAAGCATATCTATCTCCCAAACACCAGTAATGTACTCTCAAATTATGCCCAGGCCAGATGACTCTACTCGTATACAAGTCTAGGGTTTCCAAGAGCTGGCATATCTGATATTTGTGCAAATCATTGTAACGGGTGCTTAAAATTCTGCAACAAGCATTAATCAAGTTTCTTGGATTTTTAACACTGTTCGAGAAAAAAATTACACTGAAAGAGCCAAGAAAACTCTTCATTGGCAGTAATTAAAATAAAACAACTCTCAGGTAGTGGACTAGATAAATTAAAAATTGATATTTTTGTGATAATCCAATTTTCAGCTGTATTAATAAAACTGCAGGTTACCATTCTGAAACACATCAATACATTTTTTTTTAAATGCAAGGACAAGTTATATTCTGTTATGCTGTCCAAATGCATTGATTCTTTTACTTTCTTGATATTTCAAAGTAGTTTGAGTGGAAACTTGAACTTTAACTGCATGTTAAAAAATCAGCACAATTTATACCTAATCTCTCATTTGCAGTATTAGCATTTACCAGCTACCCTAACCCACCCAAAGTGCACAAACTGGGGCTGTGTCTGATGGTACAATAGTCAGATAGTCTGTTTTTGACAAGACTGGTTAAGGAATTAAATCTTGACAGGGATTCCAGCAAAACACTATGCCCTTTAGCAGAATGCCACCGATACAGCTATCAATTCTCTCAACAATGTAACATACCCCAACACTAGACTGAAGTGACAGCCTAGATTACTTGTTTAAATTCTGCAGTGGGATTTGAATTTACACTGTTTTTCAGTGGAGAGAAAACAGTAGCAAACTGAGTCACGAGGGATAGACCATAAGTCTGTTGTGTTTTGCTTTTGTGATCTTGTTTTTACATAAACTAATCAAACACTCCTCCCAAATTCTTGCTTTTATCTTTCTCAGCACTTCAAGCTTTATCACCCTTATACTTTCTAGGCAAAAAAAAAGTTGATTCTCCTAACACCAACTTGCACCAATAACAATATAAAAGTTTTATTGTGTAGTGTTCAGGCATAACAGGCTCTCCATTCCAGCCAACCTTCTCAACAGCACAATTTTAAACAAACAAAATAAATCAACAATTTCACATTTTATCATTTAAAGCTGGTTTTCCAACTGATCCTGGACACATTAAAGTTGAAGAAAGAGTTTAAAAGCAAACCATTTTTAACAACACTGCAATCAAACATGAAATAAAAGGAAGCCGGCCCACTTCATTAACTACCAGTTTTCAAATCACTAAGTTACTCACCAATTTACTGCTTATTGCAGTATCCCATGTTTAGCTGTTCTCAGAAATGTCATACATCACTTGGGAATCACAGATCACTTCTAAGAGGGTACATCTTGCTTTCACATGCTGCCCAAGAATTGGGAACACTTATCTACTAGGCCAGACAGATTCTCCTGATAGGGTAATCTAGCAATCAATTCTGGCCATCTATTTGGAAGGCAAGTGATCTACCAAGGCTTCTTTGTACAACATCTGGTTCATTACAGATCAAAATCAAAAAAAAATTTCAACAGTTTGAATACAAAACAATGTCTGTACCAAAGACCACAGATTTAAACAAGAAGCAAGAGTACATCACAGTTCTAATCGGCAATGATTTAGTATGTCTGTATACTTTAAATACCAACACCATCTCTCAGAAGTTTACTAAATACACTCTTAGATCTAATAAACAAGCATGCTTGCTCTTAGAAATGCAAAAGCAAGTATTTGAGTTCAACTGCAAATGAAGATTAGAATCTGGTTTTGACTGTGTCAAACTGAAAACGAGTCACTTTATAGAAAATTTGGGACAGTGATAATGTTCTCAAATCTGATCTTTTGACACCTTGTCAAGATGAAAAATCAGTTTTTGTGGCAATTCTGAGCTATAAGACTTTCAGAATGCCACTGTATGTTCCGTATAGACAGTTTAAGCTTTTTTCAAACAATGTGAATTCCTACACTTTCTAAATACTGCACAATGCGGTACTTAGAAAATGTGCAACTGACAAAAATGTTTGAGGCTTAATTAGTCCAATGGTGTCAAACTATTATTTCAAGTTACTTTGGTTCCTTTGGGATTTACAATTTTTTTATTGATGGCAAAAATATCTTGAATATCTTTATGACAATACGCAAGAATTTACACAATGACATGCATGACATCAGTAACATGAATATCTAAAAATGAGCTACAATTGCACAAGGCTTTGGGTAACATGACATCTGAATTAACCAATGTAGTTCATGCCCCTTTATTATCCATTTGGCAAGTTCTTACACAACGCAGCATACAAGTCAGTGAAATAAATTTAGCAAAATACCCCTCACTTTTCCATCCCACTCTGGGGATTTTCATGCAGGTGATTTCTAAATTAGGGTTTCCCAAAGTGGGGGTTTGGGACTCCAACTGAGGTCTTGAGCTGAAATTTTGGGGTCATGAGCTCTGGGGCAGAAATGGCCCCTGTAGAGCTCTGACCGAACTACAACAGCTGTGCTTCCCTGTAACAGGCCCCTGCTCTCTTTGTTCTCACTGACGGGTCACAACAAATTTCAACCATCACGTTTCCTAGCTCTAAACGCTCTAAGGTAGTCACGTTGTATGGAGACCCTGATTTCACCATGCATGCCAGATATCTTGCTGCAACCTAAATGATTGAACTAAAGTACAAAGATCCCAAGAAGCCAAATGGAGTGCCCATACCACAGCATGGATAGTGTCCTGAAATAATCTACTTCAGTCTAGAAAACACATTAATGGGGACTTCCAAAATACACTTTTTTATTGCATTCCAGATTTAGAATTTTGATTCATCCAAATTTGAAGAGGTTGCCACATATTACTTGAGGACTAGACAAGTTAACGGAAAATGCAGCATCTCATGTACACTTTAAAATTGATACATTAGAGAGATCTTAAAAATACCTATTCCACTATTCAATCATTGACCAAATCTCTGACAATTATGGTTATGTGCCTTAAAAACCGGCTGTTACATTAACTGATCACTTGGTCCTAAAGAAAATTGAATATGACAGTAGTCAATAAAATGAGCTAAATATGCTCTGCTATGAACAAAATTCATACAACCAGGTATGATATTTGGAAAACACTCTTCATTGCAGATTGAGATTTGTTATAAATTATAATTGCTTGTTTACCAAACATCACACTAAGTGTTGAAAAATGGTTCTTTAGCATGCTTACAAAAGTAAAAATGGCAGAGTACTTACAGTACATAACCTTATTCTCTGAAAAAAGTAACATTCACAAAAAACATGAATTACTGCTAATCCAAAAGGAGGGGAAGAGCCAAAACAATCCCAAGTATGTTGCACTTAGCACATGTAAATTGCCCAGACAATGACATTTCTTATAGCTGGTTTATACTGCAGGCGACAATAATTCCTACTTGAAGATGGAAATTCACAATGAATGAAGAAACAACTACTTTAAAACAAAAACAGAATATGTTATATTTTTCCAATGTTTATATGTATGTTAAAGAAAAAAAAACTCAAAATATTTGCTTAGTTTGGGTTGAGATGGATGGATATCAGTGTTGGTCCAATATATCACAACCCAGATCACAAACTCTCTACTTATGGTTTTACAATTGAAAACACAACTGACAACTCAGTATTCTAACTTAAACCAGTGAAGGAACAATGATGGATGAGATTAATTCCCATTTAATCTTTCATTCATTCTCGTAATGGATTTCTTTCTAAAGAGCATTTTACTTTTTCCAGTTACGGCCAGTTACATTGTCAACATTTATATTAGCTCAACAAAACATAACTAGCAATGAATGATTAAAAGCTTCATGTCTCCACAAGCCAATCACAGATATTTAACCAGAGACAAATACTGTATGTTAGAAGTTCAACGTTTTGGGCTTTTATTTTAAACAGGTGTTAACAAATCAAACTTTTAAAAAAATGTTTTGAAGCTTCATACTGCTAGCACTGAAAACATTATCACTGTTGCATGAAAAATAATCAACATAGTTAAGTGTTGAGAAGCAATTTACTGTGAGAAGATGATAATGAGTTTGAGATCAACACTGTAAAATAATTGGATTGAAGCACAGGCCTGTGTTTCACTGCTGGAAGAAAGTGATTACTGCAGTTGGGAGTTCCACTTAATGAAGCTTCAAAACCAAAAAGAAACATGAACATTAAAGTTATAATCTATCATCAATGTTTCAAAATTCAAACTTTCTTACAGCCCTAAGTTTTTCAACATTACAGCACGATACTCATATAAATCTTTCTAGTTTAAAAATTGCAAAAAGCTCATATCCATCTGGGTTGTCAGATTGTGTTCAATGTTTTGGGTAATACTGGAATTATGCTTCTCAATGTTTTGCTCAGTTCTTATGTTCGGTCACTCCAGAACGAATTGCTGTTGCTTTTCTCTCCAGTATTCCATAGCTTGCTTGGCCAGTGTTTTCTTTGAAAGTATAGCAGAAAGATTGAGTTAACTAACACTGTCAAAGATATAGAAAACCCTCACCTTACCTGCTTGACAAGTAGGGTGAGTGATTAACAGCGAATGAAGAAGTTCTGTTTTTATTACAAGTATTCATGCTAGGTTTCACTGTAAAAATAACTATGAAATTTATACAGCCATACATGAATCCTGGTCTACAGCACAATAAATTGAGGGTGGCATCATATCTGCTACACAAAATCACTGTAGTCATAATGTGATTGAACGGACCAGGTTTCGATGAAAGAGGTTTATAAATAAAGTATCCCCACATTAATGCATAAATTGGCCAGAAAGTGGGATTGAGGATGAGATATTCATAAAGTGTGAACTGCCATAGGTTTATAGCCAATTGGTATTCCCCTACTTTAAGCTTCACCAAAACAGCATCGTGTTTTTCATTGAGTTTTGCATTTTTATGTTCATTGTCCAGTAAACTTGCCACAGAAATACAAGTCTAGTAGTTAACAGCACAAAAACCCTTTTAATGGTGGGATAATTATGTATTGTTGCTAATGAACCTCATTTCCACAAAAAATAAGATTGCAAATTGTTTTAGGAGATTTAAAGTATCTAGTTCTCAAAATTTCTTTAAAAAATTGTCTTTTTTTTATATGTCTCTCTTGCATCAGTGCTTCCCTCACTTGATGCACCTACGTTGACATTGAATTTACCAGCTCTAACTCACTTTGTCAGTCCTTCTTCTGTATTTCTTCAATGCCTTCTTAATCTCAAAGATTAAAGAAAATATGTATAATTGTCCTGTTTTGCTCATCAAGCCTCCAGACAGCCTGTTGCCCTTACTGAACAGTTAACATCTCGCACTTCAAACAAATTTTCAGGAAACATTTTCAAAACTAAACATGGAATTTCAAGTATAAATAATGGCCCATGCCCTATTGCAACAAGATCAGACATACTGTACACAGAATTTGGCATAATTTAATTGCTTGATAAGAATATGATAAAAGACGACACATTCTTCCACATTCATACAGAATATAAACCAGCTCAATTAAGTTTGGATTCACTATTGTTGGGTGTAATTTTAACAATCCCCAAGTAGAAAAAAAATAGCTTCTAAAACCCCATCTCACCAAAAATGCTAAAGGCAACAAGTCAGCAAAGTAATGGTTTTTCATTCTTCAAGCTAATCCTCCAACTAGCAGGACCACAGAGATGGTCTGAGGTATTTTAATTTTAACGTGAATTAAATGCACTGAATTTCCTCCGCTGAAAATACATAGTTCCACCCTTGTGCTACCTCACAGATGTCACCTAGGTTATATTATACAACTTACAAACTTCTTCAAAAAATGGACATGTATATGGAAAGAAAGAAAAACCTGCTTCCCTGAACAATCAGGCTTACCTTAAGTCTCTCATAATGCTCAATGGTGCCACAGTGAGTCTGCTTTGCTGTCTCCTCACTTGTGTAGAAGAGACGGCAAAGTTTGCAATAGTAGCCAGCTTTTGGAACCACATAATCTAAACCTGAAAGAAGGCAGAGAGTATTATAGTCTAAATGATCCTTCTGGTGCAAGTAGAATAGAACCAAAGTAAACACGACAGACACTAACCATATCATTGAAGGAAGTGTTCAAGGATAACGTAGTTTGAACATTATATACTATGTACACTACCTTTCAGAAGTCTCCATACTACTTCAAATATGTAGCGTCATTGGGACCAATGTCCCTCAACTTATAAGAAATACAGATATTGTTATAAAGGTGATGAGGTGTTGCAGTTTAAAAAATTACTAATAGTACCCACTTTGATACCTGACACTAGGATGCACTACCATTAATACAGGGCTTTTATCAAGCTCTTTGCTGGTTATTCAATGGTTGGTAGCAATTTAACAATGAAGAAATTGCTTAAAAGACTGGACTGCCCATACAAGTCCTGCTTCAGTTCTTAGATGGGACAAGTCGACCCTTTTGAATACACTGCAGAACAACCTAAATATTAGGGTAGATTTCTTAATATCAGTTACTTAATCTATTCGATTAAGAATCTATTTCAAATAAACTGCACTGAGTCCCAGATACATTGGTCTGCAACTTAAGCACAGAAATCAACCACAACAACGGAGCAAAATGCTTTTTTCTCTTAAATCTAGCATTTCTACTCAGTAGCACTACCCTCAAGGAGTCTGGGTTCTGATGAGCGCTGGTACCATTCAAGACACAGACATTGGGGTCTACTGGTACAGAATCTTGAACAATTAATTTAAAGGCAAATATTATTATCTAGACAGTATTTTGTCAATAACATTTCTATGAACCCATTTTTGCTCTAGAGATTCGGACTTTACCCTAATGCTTCTTTCTAAAGTTACCATGAAACCATCTAGCCAACATCTCTGTGCATAAACCCGGGTTTTCTATTTAAAACTTGCCAAGTTACAATTTTCTACGCTACCACTTTTATTGCTACAGAATCTTAAGACTGTCAAACATATTGTTGTATATTGGCAGCCACAATCTCTACTGTTTTTCTAAGAACGCCCACTAGGATGCAATCAAAGGAAAGATCAGATACTTTGCAAAATGATTCAATGGTCATCAACATTCCTCCAATCACAGATCATGTCACTGGAGGAGCTGCAAGAACAGGAGGATGAGAACCTGTGATTGGAGGAGCTAGAGCAACTGCACCAGAAAGACAAAATTTAGACTGAAGGAGCAGCTACTCCGAGATTTTCCCATGCTCAAACTCCCATTGCTTCAATTACAGTTCTGCAGTCAGTTCCTGCTCTCTCAGACTATAAACAGCTACCATTATTTTTGGAACCCCACACCTTGGACTAGCTCACAGGACTGGATCACATATTTAAAATGGGAGCATTCCAAATCACCATGTCAGTAATCTGAAGAAATTTCTCATCACTGATGTACTATCTCTGCATCTACTTCTTTTAGAATGTTAAAATGTAAGCTATCAGTTTGGGGATCTGTCAAATGTCAGTTCCTGTAGTTACTCTTATCGGTGTCTGGTTACTCTCAATTTGTGGTATGCACGTACAACGTGTGTACTGTGAAGACAGGCATAAAGGACTACATTTTTACAGGAAAGCTTCTTTGTTGTGGAGAAAACGGTTAAGTCTAAAAAATTGTAAGTCCCACCCTCAAACATAGCACTTGCCATGTTCATGTGAGTGGAAAGGGGTCAAGATGAGATTCATGCATGCAGAGTTCACAAAATCAGCTAGTTATGGAAACAGCTAATGATTTAAATAATGTGATTTTGATCACTCAGGAGTGTGAAGTGTTAAGTGTGCACAGCACACCATCTAAGAGCTGGTCTACACTTTGCATAATTATTTAGATAACCAGGGTATCATTTTGGAGAGGTAAGATCTCCCTTTGGGGGAGGTCAGATGCCCTTTGAAATGGTCAAAGTAGGTATGAAGTGTTTTAAATTGCACAAACACATTGACCGTCAATGCAAATGCATGGAAGTTAAAGTCAACAAAATTAAATAGCAAGAGGACCTGTCAAAAGGGGCTGTCAAGACCTTTTAAAATCCTGCCAATCTGAAGTATTAAAGCAGAACATTGCTTATTATTTCCCGCTGTCTGTTGACATAACTTGAGGGACCCTATCACAGGAATTCTGATACATGACTTATTTCACAACCATCCTTTATCACAGTGCTATTCCTGCCATTTCAGTTTGATTGACAGCTCCAAGTGGTTACAGACTCTTTAAAGTTAGATTATAAATTCATTCCAATCCCTGTTCTTATGAGGATTGTATACTTCAATTAAATGTTTATTTCTATAAGATGTTAGGCAGGTGAAGAATTGTATTGTACTAATTCTTTTTTTTTACAAATGAGAATCCAGCCATCCCAGGTTTTCAGTCAAACTGCTTTTACCACAGTTACATTATTTCTTAAATAAGGAGGCCAAAACTGTACGCAGTACTCCAGATACAGCCTTACTGACATCCTGTAGAACTGCAGCAAAACTTTTTACTTTTATATTCCATTCTCCTTGCAATAAAAACGGCCTCATCTCTGCAAAGGCACTGAAGTTTGACCATAGTAGATATGGGGGAGTTGGTTTAAGGGCAGAGTCAATAGCATTAGTTGGGACGAGATTGGCAGAGGTTAGTGTGAGGTGACATGGTTGGGACATGGTGTGTTTGGAAGGTGAGGGCTAGGAAGGAAGGGCTATTGGGTAGGATGATTGAGGGATGAGATCTAAAACTATTTTAAAATGAAATAAACTTCAACACAGTGGCAATGCACAAGGCAGACTTCGGCTCAGCTTGTCTCTGCACTTATTCCAGATCATTTCCAAGGGAGACCCATCACACTGCGGAGAAAATCTGACCCTCTGGGCCACCTTTTCCAAGTTCTGGTCTGTGATGCTCAGAAGTAGCCCAACTCTATACTCTATGCTCAACTTCTTTCTATTTCCTCATCCCCCATGAAAACTTTTCCTGTTTCTGACCAACTTTATCTTTAGTGACATTTGTTTTAATATACTTACAGAAGTTGTTGCATTGTTTTTATATTGTTAGTTTATTCTCAACCTTTCTCCCTTGTGTATCAATTCTTTAAACTGCCTTTTGATAGTTTCTAAATCACCTGCCAATGCTCAGGAATACCACCATTCTTGGCACCATTATAAGTTTCCTCTTTTCACCTGATACTATCCTTAACTTCCCTAATAAGCCAATATGGATTGTCCTCAGAATTTTCATTAACGTAACACACTAAGGTATCCGGATTGTCAAGACATCAGCTGGCACAAAGGCAAAGAAAATCTATCCAAAACAATTCTAAAGAAATCAAGATCAAACAACAGCGCTTCCCTTTTAAACTGCCTGAAACAATCTTTGGATATATTTGGGACGCAGACTAATCAATTCTGGTTGTTGTAATTTGGGGACTTGAAGTCAATCATAACCCAGGTGTAATAAAATGCATTTGGAGAGTAGCATTTTGCTTGGCTTCATGTTACCAACATTTGAAGCTGCTGCAGTTCTCCACCGTACAAAACAGGCTCCAGGTTTGATTATCAGTCAGTGCTGAATTAGTTAATCTCTGCCAGGGAGAGGACCTGTTACAACTAGCCCTTAAGGGAACTGGGGCTAGGAAAGGGATATCATTCAGGGATTATTAGTTATTACTGATCCTACTTGGAAGTGTGACCATATAATATTGAGCAATTTCTCCATGAAAAGTTAGATCTTAGGGATGGTATTAACTCCTAAGCTCCTCGGTTTTCTGCTGAAAGGCAACTGACGAATCTAGCTGCCTGGAGAGAAAGAAAATATTAAAGGATTATTTAACGCTAAGGTCGTGGACTAGTGACTTCGAAAAGAGCCCAAATCTCAATACGGAATATTTAAAGTCAGTTAATTCAATTTAAAAATCTGGAATAAACAGCTAGTTATCAGTAATGACCACCATACATGACTATCAGATTGCCTTTCAAAAAAAAAATCTAGTACAATAATTCAATTAACTTCATTTAGGGAAGGAAGTCTGCTGACCCTAAATGGCATGGACAATAGATAACTTCAGAACACTCAACAATGTTCTTAAACTGCCTTCTGAAATAGCCTAGCTAACCAATCAATTGCATTCAATAAGGCGGCTCACCACATTTAAGGATTGTAAGGATGACCAATAAATTCTGGTCTTAACAGTGACATCCCATGAACTATTTAAAAAACAAAAATAACCTTACCTACAGGATTGTTGGGTTTATATGGCCCAAGTTTGTATTCATCTGGAAGAGGAGAGAGAGCCTGGATTTGCTCACTTGATGGTTCTCCACATAATGTGGAAATGTTTCCCTTCACTTCTTCACCTGTTTTTACATCCATGTCAGTGTTTTCATTCATATTATTTCTTAGATAACTTTCGTTTTCAGCATCTTGTTCATCTTTGATGTCATCAGTAAGCAGTTTGTCTGTTTGAGCAGATTTGATTTTCTGACCATTTGGATCATCAATCTCATCAAGGGCAAAAAACTCATCCATGTACTCTGGACACCGAATGCCTTCTGATCGCTAAACAGAAAAAAAAACAAAAAAATGCCATCCATTCACAAAAAGACTGAACAGCTTCACAATATATACAATATCTATTGTAAGATCTCTCGGCTGATCCAATATTGCTTTTGGCTAAGGTAACAAAAGAATGGGGCGCTAGCCTTTTTGAGTTTGATGTGCAAATACAAAAGTCTGCAAACTCTTATTGCATATCATTTTATTTTGGATGTAAATTTCAGCCACCCTGAAAGGGAGCAAATTAGTAAAAATCAAATTGATAAAGTGAGGCAAGAACTTTAAAAAAAGAGGGAGGCAAAAGAGGGATGTTTCTGCAGAGGGTGAAGACCATATAAAAGGTCATTCAAACTTGGCAGTGACATACATTCGGGTCAAAACTGGAGCTTCTTCTAAACAATGCTAAAGTAAACATCAAGAATCAATAAAATGGTCGAAGGACAAGTCAGCAACTTATGCTCACAACTCAAACTACAAAGCCCAATCAGCACTAGATTAATGGCCAAAAGAAAGAATTTTACATCAACTCTCAAGTAGAAACTTGGAGGCCCGCACGTTTTTTGTTTAGCTCTACAAAACATTGCGGCTCAACTGATCCAGATGTACAAACATTCTTTTAGTATTGTTGAGAAAAGACATCTTGTCAAAGCTTTTTGTCTTGCACTCACCAAGACAGTCTGCAAGAATACCAAATCAAGCAGAAAACCAACATACATACTTATGAGTACTGACTGGTTGGCGAGGGGGTTCTAATTGGTAGAGGCAGTGTCATGAAGAATGTATCCATTAATGCTGATTGACAGTAAAGTGACAACCTTTGTTTAGTCTTAAGCCAGGAAGGTTGACCCTAATGCGTTGAGAAATGACCAGCAAATGGCTGTCTCCTATTTAGTTGAATTTGCCTGTTTCAACAAGATGTAGAATCCCGACAGTGTGGAAACAGGCCCTTTGGCCCAACAAGTCCACACCGACCCTCAGGGCATCCCACCCAGACCCATTCCCCTGTAACCCACATAATCTACACATCCCTGAACACTATGGGCAATTAAGTATGGCCAATCCACCTAACTTGCACATTTTTGGACTGTGGGAGGAAACCAGAGCACCCGGAGGAAATCCACGCAGACACGGGGAGAACGTGCAAACTCCACACAGACAGTCGCCCAAGGGTGGAATCGAACCCGCGTCCCTGGCACTGTGAGGCAGCAGTGCTAACCACAGAGCCACCATGCCGCCCATGTAGTTGATGATAAAGAACTATGTTGCAGTGGTCCAACATGAACAGGTGGATAATATATTCTCAGTCCACTAGCTCTGGATTTTGTGTCTTGAAAGCTGCACACCATATCATATAATACATAGTCAATTCACTGTAAAAATTCATCAGGACTCCTAAAATACGTGCTGAAAGGAAGGAACTCTCAGAAGGCTGGCGATGCATAGTTCTTCAGCATTGACAGAAAAAAAATCTTGGAAGCAACATACATATACAGGAAATGAAACCTGCCCCATCTAGAGATGTTACATTTCAGGAAATAGAGAATGATAGCCTCTTGGAAATGGAAGGTGCCCTATACTGAAGGATTGCGCCACAATAGTATGGAAGTTACAGAGCAACTGACCACTGTCTCATCAACAGCAACATCCAAGAAAAAAGGTGAAAGAAACCTATTGGGTAGATAAGATTTCCAATTATGCTGCAATGACTGCACTTACATCGAGTATCAGTTTTCTACAAGTAACACTCGGGTCATATAAATGCCAGGTAATGACAGTCTCAAATAAGAGACATTATAACCACTGCTACTTGACATTCAATTGTGTTATCATCACAATTTCCTACAATCAAAATCCTGGGGGTTACCAGGATGAACTGGTCTCACCGTATAAGTAGAGTGGCCACACAGCAGGTCAAAAACTAGGAATACCGCAGTAACTCACCTTATTCCCCCACTAAAGCCTGTCCACAATCCACAAGGCATTTTTCAGGATTGCCTGGATGAATGCAGCTCCAAAAACACAAGAAGCTTGACACCATCCAGGACAAAGCAGCCCACTTGATTGGCAACGCATCTATAAACATTCAGTCACTCCACCATCGGCACTCAGTAGCAGCAGTACGTACAATCTACAAGATTCAGTGGAGGCATTTGCCAAAGATCCATAGACAGCACATCTAAGCCACAACTGCCTCCAGCTTGAAGGACAAGGGTAGCAGAGACATGGGAACACCACCACCTGCAAGTTCCCCTCTAAGCCACTTGCCATCCTGACTTGGAAATATATCACTGTGTCAAAATCCTGCAATTTCCTCCCTAAGCACATTGTGGATAAACCTACAGCACATGGATGCAGCAGTTCAAGGCAGCAGCTCACCATCACCTTCTCACGGTCAACTAGAGATGGGCAACAAATGCTGGCCCAGCCAGCAACACCCATGTCCCATGAGTGAATAAAAGAAAACAATTACTTTATATTCCACTCCCCAGAGGAGAGGATAGCGATACTCAAGATGTATGTGAAGGCTGCATGGAAAACATTGTGCGTGCTTCAAAGCATAATTTAGTGCTGCCGTGCTGGAGCTTAGGAGCAGTAAATTATCCCAGGCTCTCTTGCTGCTAATCTCAAGACTTTCCAGCTGCAAAGGATAAAGTTGCACTTCTATGAAAAAAAGACAGATACTCCTGTATTTAAAAACACCTTCTATTTCATGCTGTGTACTATAATGACAGTTGCACAGCATACATACCTACCCATTACTAACACATTACACTCACTATACTGAAAATACACACTGGCTTGAAACTACAATGAAAAGTGATTGAAATGCAAGAATTCCAAAGCACTGATACCAGCTAAGTAAAAGATTATGAATACTGGTAGGGAGAAACAAAACTACCTAAACCTGTCTTTCTGGAATCCAAATAATGCATTTTAACACATTTTAATTGTTAGAATATTTGAATGAAGTTGCAAATTTGGGAACTTTTAATGCCTACCTTCTCTGAGTGTGCTGCATCTCGACAGCTTAGTTCTGCATCAGACTCATCTTTCATTTCACTTTCAGTGAAATGCCCAACTTCTATATCCGGTTCCAATTCCACTTCCAAAACATCCTCTCTGTCACCAGTTGCAGATTTGTCCTTCACTAATTCATCATATGTCAACAGTAATTCTTCCGTGCCACCTTCTTCATAGTTCTTGGTGTCTGGAGAAGGGCCACCCTGTGACTTAATTTTTGCAACATTCTCTCCTTCTAACTGTTTGGGGCTTGCGTTCTCCAGTGAAGGAGAGCCCACTTGTGCATTTTCATTGTCTGTTTCCTTAGAATTCTTGGATTTATCTTGAGCCTTTCTCTTGTTGCTGGGTGATCGTGGTCTTTTAGAAGTAGGGCTATGAGAACGACCCCTTTTTCTGTAATCAAAATAGGTATTTTTAACATGAGGTATTTCAAAAGGTACCACAAATAGTATTTCTTTTAAAAAATGTCTGGGTTTCAATATTGGTTTATATCAGTGATTATGTGGATTATAAGCTTGTGATTTTAGCTGGCACTGAAAGACCAGATGTAAAGTATTTATCAACAGGGATGAGCTAATGAAATCTGACAGAGAAATGGTGTTTATGCATTTCCTACAGGTCTGCCATAATGGCAGAGATCGAGAAGGTCACTGATCAATGTTTTCAGTTAATGATCATGTAAAGGTAAAGTTGCCATATTCCCAGTAGACCATAGGGCTACTCTCTCATTACAGAAAGGCAACTGGTGATTTTAACCTGAGTGTCACCATCCTAGTGTGGAGATTGAACCTACACTGTTGGTGTTACCGTGCATTGCAAACCAGCCAACCGAGCTAACAGATTCTCCACAAAACAAAAATATGGTATAGGCAAAATAGCTACATATGAAATTAAACTCATTGGTCCACAGGATCTATGTTTCCTGCTGTCAAAAAGCTGCAGCAAAAAAAAACCAGAGGGCTGAAATTACCCCGAATTCAAAATCACTGCTTAATCCATTATTATGGAAGTTTTGGAATTATGAAACTCTGAAAATCACATGACATGCAAACTGTTGTCCTATAATTCCAGCAGACAGTAATGTTTCACCTTTAGAAGGAAATCTATTAACTTAGCATGAGAAGAACAGGCATGTGGGTGAGTGAGTAGAAACATTAATTTACGATCTTTATTGTTTTCTTTCTTTTCCACATACATAATCCATCTATGATGTTGTCACCAATCCCGCAAGCCTCTACTAAAAATGCTCTGTAATTAGGAGCAGAGGCGTAGACAGCAATGCTGTCAATTGTTACATTTTTACGAACAAGTGGTCTCTACCTAATTGCTAATACCTTTGCAACCAAGTACCTTGGTACTCCAAAATCCCATTTGTATGATATGGATATTTGAAACAGTAAATGTTTATGTTACTAAACAATTCATACCCAAATGATCAGACATTTATCAACTGCAGATTAGTCACTTACACATTAGTCACCCTTCAAACAAGTTTAACTAATTCTGAATGTGTTACAGTTGAAATTTGGACACACAGATTAATAAAACAGGCTTAAACGTCAGAGTAGATAGCGTACCGATTTTCCCGTTCTCTGTTCCTTAACAGTTCATCAACTCCTTTGCCTGGTTTCTGAAAAAGACAAAAATATCAATCCCCTATTGCAACCTGAATTAATACCTGAATTATTTGGAGAATTCTTAAATTACAAGTAGTAGTACTAACTCAATATTTAGGTAAAGAGGTTGTCTTGTTAGATAGTTTAAATAACTTGCTTGTTAAGAGTGTAACAAAATATGCCATCATTATTCTGCTATTACACATTAATCCAACTGAAAATTCTAATTTTAAACAGAAGGTTACTAGAAGGCAAATGTGTATATACAGTACATGCTCTGAATATGTACCTACCACCATACAGCTACTTAAATTACCTGGCAGCATGGCCCACTGGAGCAATGCTCGTTCTACTCAGGCACAGGAACACTATATTTTGGTTGAAGCAAATGATACCACCAGTTGGCAACACAAACCAAATGAGCATTTCTGTGGGTCAGCAAAACAGTCTGAATTTGCCAACCGCTATATCAATATTTCAACCATATCCAACCGCAAGACCATAAGATAAAGGAGCTGAATTAGGTCATCCAGTCCATTCAGTCTGCTCTGCCACTCAACCATAGCTGATGTTTCTCTACCCCATTCTCCTGCTTTCTCCCCATACCCTTGATTCCCTTACTAATCAAGAACCTATCACTGTCTTGAATACATTCAATGACTTGATCCCCACTGCTTTCCATGGCAATGAGTTCCACAGATTAACCTCCCCGCAGCTCAGTTCTAAAGGGTCATCCCTTCACTGAGGCTGTGCCCTTGAACCTCTTACCAGTGGAAACATCATCCCCACATCCGCTCTATCAAAGCTTCTCAGTATTCCATAAGTTTCAACGAGATTCCCTCTCATCATTCTAATTTCCAACGAGTACAGACCCAGACTCCTCAATCATTCCTCACTGGACAAGCTCTTCATCCCTGTGATTCTTGTTATAAACTTCCTCTGGGTCCCTTCCAACGCCAGCACATCCTTCCTTAGATACAGGACCCAAAACTGCTCACACTATTCCAAACGTGATGTAGAGGTGCCGGTGTTGGACTGGGGTGGACAAGATCAGAAATCACATCACACCAGATTATAGTTCAACAGGTTTATTTGAAAACACAAGCTTTTGGAGTACAGTGCCTTGGTAGGGTGATGTGAGAAGAAAGCACACAAAGATCAAAGGGTCACACAACTGATGAGGATGTATTAAACAAACCTAGGATGCTGTTAAATCTTTAGGCAGTCAGAAGGTTTTAATTGATTAATATGTATATGTAAATCCCTGAATTTCTTTCAAGACACAGTCCTGAGAGAACTACAGGTTTTATCAGTGTAAAGAGATGACACTTTAGGTCAGACAATGCATATTAGGTGTGAGGCCTTGTTTAGAATCTGTGTTTTGGTTTGGAGTCAGGCTGGTTTTATTTCTAAAGTAGGAATTTATAAAACGCCACATTAACTGACTATCTATAAGTTTGGTGCTTTTTGAACAAAATAGAATGGTATCTGCAAATACAAATTCATCCCATAGATTTATATGTGTGCACGTGCGTGGTGGGGGGAAAGAGACAGAGGGAGAAAGAGAAAAAGAGAAAGAGAAAGAGAAAGAGAAGGAGAAGGAGAAGGAAAGAGAGAGAGAGAGAAAGAAAACAGAGAGGGGGAGACAGAGAGTGAGAGAGAGACAGAGAGAGAGGGTGTGTGTGTGTGTGTGGGGTGTGAGTGTGTGTGTGTTTGAATGTGTGCGAGAGAGAGAGAGTGATTAAAGATTTAACAGCATCTTAGATTTGTTTATATATCCTCATCAGTTCTGCGACCCTCTGATCTTATAAATTGTGTGTTCTGTGTGCTGCTTTCTCACTTCACCTGATGAAGGGGCTACGGTCCAAAAATTTGTGTTTTCAAATAAACCTACTGGATTATAACATAGTGTTGCGTGATTTATGATCTATTCCAAATGCGGTCTGACCAGGGCCGTATGCAGCCTCAGCAGTGCATCCCTGCTCTTGTATTGTAGCCCACTTGAAATGAATGCAAACATTGCAGTTGCCTTCAAACTACCAATTGAACCTGCAATTTAAGGTTAATAGAATCCTGAACCAGGACTCCCAAGTCACTTTGTGCTTCACATTTTCAAAGCCTTTCCCCATTTAGAAAAGTCGATGCCTCTAATTTTCCTAAAATGCATAACCTCACACTTTCCCACATTGTATTCCATTTGCCACATCTTTGCCCACTCTCCTCACCTGTCTAAGTTCTTCTGCAGCCTCCCCACCTCAACATTACTTGCCCCTCCACTCACCTTTGTGTCATCATACTTAGCAGTAATGCCCTCAGTTCACTCACAACATGAACAGTTGTGCCCCAACACTGACCCCTGTGGAATTCCACCAGTCACTGGCTGGCAGTTTGAAAAATACCCCTTTATCCCCAGAGATAGTAGGAACTGCAGATGCTAGAGAATCTGAGATAACAAGGTATAGAGCTGGATGAACACAGCAGGCCAAGCAGCATCAGAAGAGCAGAAAAGCTGACGTTTCGGGCCTAGACCCTTCCTTTATCCCCACTTTCTGCCACTGCCAGTCAGCCAATCCTCTCTCTATGCCACAACCTTGCTGCAAACACCAAGGGCTCTTATCTTATTTCGTAGCCTCCTTGTCAAAGGCCTTCTGGAAATCCAAACAGATCGTGTCCACTGGCTCCGCTTTGTCTACCTTGCTCATTACGTCCTCAAGGCATTCTAACAGATTTATTAAGCATTACTTCCTCTTGACGAAGCCGTGCTGACTCAGCCCCATTTCACCATGCAATTCCAAGTACTCCACAATCTCATCCTTTAACCACTCACTGGCCTCAATCCTTATGATTATAACTGAACATTAGCCATACCACTTACCCTTAATACTAAGCTCCTGTATTTTTCAGACAAATATACTTTCAGTTCTCTGCCATGGAACATCAGAGGGATTTTCTTGAACTTTTCTATCATGGCCATTGCCATTTGGTGTGTTTCCATTTCCAGGAAAACCTGTGATTGAAACAAGTGTCATTATGAATTATAACTGTAACTAAGTTTTGAAATAGTGGGTTTAGCACCACAGTCAAAATACAAAACGCAGACCTCTGATCAATCTTTCAAAGAATGCGCTTTTAATTAAGATTTATCATCAATCTTAACAGGGATGTATAATTAACACAGTCTTTCAAAGAAAATTTATCTTTGGGCTCCAGATATTCTCTCACTGCTAGTTCATAATTTTCATGTTAAACAGGCCTTCATTTGAATCCTTTAAAGTCCTTGACTTCTGCAATCAATTTTACTTATAACGTTAATGCTATGTGTCTAATGATACTTGAATTTATCAAAGTCACTATATTTAATAACATCAATTGCACTGGAGGTGCTGTAAATCTAACAAAGCATCATCAGTAATATCTCTTCATAATGTGCATCGAGAGAGAATAATTCCCACCTCACTTAAAATGTTTAGACTTGTCCATCATTTTATTTTGCACTGTTCAGTTAAAAGTTTAAAGAATTTGCTTTCAGTTATTCTGCCTACTCGGTTTCAACTTCTTTCAACTCCTGCAATAGCAATGGCATCATACCGCACTAATATAGGCACTCTTTCACTGAATCTATTTCTGTTAAATGATTCATACATACTTTTATGCCTCCAAACCCTGTGTCAGTTTTCTGTTTATGCCTGTGATGTCAATGTTTTAACTCAATGTTTTCATATACATCTATTACTAATGACTCATTATGAATTCAGCACTGGGAGCAGTAAAGCTGCTTCTGTGTTGTTGCAACAGTTAGGGCAGATGAGTTCATCATTGTCTATGGCTGAAAAGTTGCAGCTTAAAAAAAGGAAGTAGCATGGATGGATGAACAAATGAAAACCCTTATACACCAAACCAAACACACTATGTTAGAGAGGAGCTGCATCAAAACAAATCCACCTAAAACAAACTTTAACATATGTATAATTGGATAGACCGTGTACCACTTATTCCATTATTTTCCAACATTTGATGTAACTCAATAAGGTTTCTTCAGCAGCAGCTACCATTTACGACGCTGGTGCACAGCAGCACCGCACCAGCACCATCATTTACAATAAGCAGCTATTCTAAATTGGATAACTGCTACTACTTCATCATTACTGAATCATAATTCCTTCCTAACTAAATTGTGGAAGCATCTGCATGGCAAGGATAGCAGACCACTACCACAACAAACAGGCAGTTAAAAAATCAATCTTGCCAGCGTTGTTTGTATGTCAAAACTTAAAACAAAATTCTGCTTGTGGCTTAGATGGCAGAAAATTGCATTCAAAACCAAATATGAAGTATTAA